AAGAATTAACTTTGGAAAAATAGACCTTTCGATTTAAAAATAAGTCAATTTCTCATCCCATATTTGTTTGCTTTTTCTTCTCTTGAGGGATTTTCTATTTTTAACAAATGTATTTAGGTCGTTGACACTCAACAATCCAATTATTAGTTGTGATTTGAATTCAATTGCTAGGAGTATTTAGCACTCCAAAGAAGGATGCAAGCTGTTTGTAAACTATAGACCGCTTGCACTCTATGGCTCCAAAGTTGGAGGCCCCGAAACGAAGACAGAAAAGGAAAAATAGCATTATCAAGTGTCCTATTTAGAAACGGCTTAATACAGTCTGGGGCGCTGATAATAGAAAGATAACCATTGAAAGTTGAATGAAAGTCTGAACTCCGCCGGTCACAGGTGAGGGAAGAAATAGGAGGAATAAAACGTGACCAACCTAAACAGGATGTTAGCTACTTAATATACCCTTGTAGTCTTCCATGTCAAACTCTGATTGGACGATGCGGTGCCAAGCTTTGATTGGTCGGCGCGAAATAAAGAGTGAAGATTAGTCAAGTATTCACGTGATCTCTGAACCCAAGGATGTTGAGCTATGACTGCGTATGGAATGCAACAAAACTAAACATTGAATGGGAAAAGTGTGGGGATAGGTTAATTTAGGCCTACGATTCGTGTCATTATCGATTACATTCCTTCCAGTCATTCAATTGTCTTGATTTTTATTTGCACAACTTTTAATCTGTCCTATCGTATTCCAAAAAAAATTAGAACCGATTTTCCTATTTTTTTGTATTCTTAAATAGGGTTGGTGCCTTCATACAAAAATTCTACGTAACCTCTTTTCACAACCTACAGTTATTCATTTAAAGGCACTATGTATAATAGATCCCTTGTACTCGTCTGCTTTTTATTTACCATTTTGTCAATAAGATGGACTTAACATCTTTTTCTGCATTTAGCTCGGCATCATCGATGGTGAGAACTATGTAAAAATCGAAATACCTAGCACTGTTATTTCACTACCTCTCAATGCTATACTCGCTGACATTATCAGCAGAACGTCTTTACCCACATATATGCTTGAATAGAGAGAAAGTAGGCATCTTAATTAAGTATGGGTCATCTTCTGTTAAATTAAAATACTTCTATTAAATACTTAGAATCTCATCAGAACCATATAGTACAAAAATAGTGTTATTATCGTTGTACCGATTGACAACTATGACATTTATCCACATACACGAAGTGAGAGAAAGTATACTGAAAGAATTATGAGTAACTTATAGGTATGACTTGGAAATGAGATATCTTGTTACTTTTAACGAGTATATGTGCGAACGATCTGGCTGCTAATTGTAAGGATATTCTATGTATACGTTCTTCCTCTGAGCGTGGCTGATTTGTTCAATATACATCTTCACTCTTCGAACCCGAAACGTCTGTTTGACACTTTCCCAATCTCCCTTATAAACTAATTTATTTCTTAAAATACTGATCTGCTTGATACCACTGATTGTGCTATCAACCTTTTCAGGCTTTTATTACTTCATATACACTCAAGCGATACTCTTCTTTCGTTTTTATTGTTGTGCGTAGACTAAATCTTCGGCTTAATAGTATTTCTGCTACTACTTAACTTACGACTAGTTCTATAAAGCACACTTATTCTCATCGTCATCTATCTGTTTCTGATTCGAACTTCAGGGCAATGATTATCCGATTTTTGGCTTACATTTGAGCAGTTAACATTTATATAATTATTTAGTCCATTCATCTTAAATTCATCGTCGTTTCTAAACGTCCTTACATTACTTTATTTATTCCGAAAGTATATACATTTAGTCGTGAGTTTTATAATGAAAAACCATATTATTTATTACAGGTATTTGTCTGGGAAACTAACTTCGACAAACTTCTCAATGAAATTGATGACCCTGGCCCTGTTTCTGCCGCCGCCAGGGGGTCGTTGCATCAACGGCCATTAGCCTGCGAAGAAAAACGTCGCAGGCCCCTTCGTTGGCGGAATCAAAACAATTTATCATCAGAAATCCCACATGTGTCACGCGACTCAGAAGTAGTAATTTCTCCCTACTTAGCTGAGAGTGATCAAGTCTCTGACGCTCAACTATCGCTCACTTCAAACAAAGTTATTCTTAAGGATAGTTTGCCCGAATCTCATTTGTTTGACAATTTACAGAAAGATGAAAACGACTCCAACTCTGCCACAACTGTTGAAAGACGATATGACGTAGAAGCCAAACGCTTGTTTCAGGTGATCCACCTGTTTTTATCAACTCACTTTTATTTTAACCTGGTATTTAAACTTATTTTCAATTTTTATAGAGTGAACCATCCCTGATCCCTCCAAACGTAGCCACGACTCTTGAGCACATTTTATCTCAACTCGATATACTAACTCAGGTAATATAAAGTCACAATACTCATTATAGTTCCTATTTTTT